TTTTTTTTTTTACTTCACGCTGTATTCCCTCGAGATGCTTTTTCGCAATTCTTTTTCATCCCCTGTGTTGTATTTTTCCCACCCCCGTCGACTTTTCTTCCCTATTATTCTTCTCATTGAAAGACGCTTGGGGGTGGAAACCACCCGCTGGGGGGTGGTAAAGAGGAAAAGTAACGGAGAGAGAAAAATGGAGAAATGGAGAAATGGAGAGAAATGGAAAAATGTATGGAAGGAACTGTTTGGCACTCTCCAACAGATACACCGAGTCGCCAGGAGTTCGCAGGGTGTTTATTCCCTGATGCTTGGGACGTCTGTGCATGACGTTAAATTTCATTATTTTTAACACAAAAACTTCACGATCCGGGGGTTCACCCCTTTTTCCACCCTCATCCACCCACAACGAGTAACTTTATACACGCCAGGGAAAACCCTGGAGTTCATGACTCACTTTGGCATTGACGTGTGTAATTAATCTTGAAGGGTCTATAGTTACATGACGTACACAAACTTAGTATGGAATTTTCGTTATGAAAATTCTCTGGTAATCCGAAACTTCATTCAGAGTATCTCGTTCTCACAAAATTCCAATCGATTCTCCGTAAACTTTATTCCTTTGAAAACAGAAATTACCAATCCAATCGATTTACTTTTTATCGACTCCATCGATTAATTCTATTCGCGTTTTCTATCCTACCTTGTCCCCGCAGAAAATAATAATTGAAAATGTAATTATCCCGAAAGCAATTCGCACTCCCCTCCAATTATCTCAAACCGTTTCTCTCGGTGTCGCGATTATTTCAAAGTGGCGGTACGATATTTACGGAGTAGAATAGAAAATTCTTGGTATAATTGTCCATTGATATCTTACCACGGGAAAAATACACTTTAATCAAGTATAAAGTATACTTTGAGAACAAAATTATACAGAACGATCTTCGAGTTTTAACGCTCATCACGATCCATGAAGAATTCGACCGAATAAAATGTCGGGAGTTCATCAATTAAATAAAACTATAAACCCCGATAAAACTACTAATTAAATAATTTTTTGCACAATTCCATTGAACACTATTCAATGAATTTCTGGTTTGTGTAACTGATTGATAATTTCTAGGACAGACGTAGCAGTTCGCGTTCCCCAGGACTTGGGTTATCATCGGCGATTCTATCCACTAGTGCCACCCCACCATCCACCCAATCGAAACCCTCGATTCATCTAGTGCACGCCTCTTGGAGAAAAAAAAAAAACAGATCTTATCATCGATTTATCGTCGATAACTCGAGAGTGAATTTTTCTGGTGTTTCATACTTATTTCCAGGTGTTACTTGAAATGAGACATGACTGGAATCGTGGGATATCGACGATTGAGAAGAGGTCTGTTTTACCCAACTGGTGGTGGTGAGGAAGGGGGTGGTTGGGGGGTGGTTGGGGGGTGAATCTACCCCACTACCCTCACCCCTGTACTACACCGGGTCAGTGGCAGTACTGGCAGTGCGCCGGGCGCGCTCCACCAGGTTGGGTGTGTGCCTCATCCTGTAAACTCTGTACATTTGTGCTCCTTATCCGATGCTTGATAAACACCAGTCATGTTTGTTCATACCACGTGCTCAATGTTTTACTCCATCACCTAATAAACGGAGAAGATTCACTCTAATCAAGAAGATGTTTTCGTACCTTCCATAAGTGCAAATCGGTGAGTCCCATTCGATTCAATTCGCGTATTAATGCAAATGATTCATCTTCATCTATTCATCTTCATGGTTTTTTTTTTTTTTTTATTATAATAGTTATTTATCTTGAGCATCTGATTTTCTTCTAGCAATTGCCGATTTTTTTAGACGATGTGCATTCTGGCTATTCTGTTTGATCTCTTCAGCTTTCAAATTATCGATTATTGGAAATTTTTATATTTATTTAATGGACCAATGTTGATGAGAGATTATCGGGTATCCCGGGGAAAATATTGACTTGATGATAAATTGAGGGAATCCGGTGATTATTTGAGGAACCGATTTTCAGGGAAAATAGTCATTTTTATTTCGTTGCGGGTATATACTGATACCGTAATTCATCCCCTATTTATTTTTTTTATTATAATAATTATTATATTATTGTATTTAGTATCGAATTTTTTGCCAGAAAGAAATTGCGTTGCAGATTTTTTCCTCTGAATTGCGTTCTCATTATTCTGTTCGATCTTTGCAATTTTTAAATTATTGATTATCAGAAATTTTAATATTTATTTAATGGACAAATGTTGATAAGAGATTATGGCGTATTCCGGGGAATTTTATTATAATTTATTTTAATTTTCTTTATTTTATTTTTTTGTTATAATAATTATTGTAATTTAGTATCTGATTTTTTTTTCTAGAAAGAAATTTCGTTGCAGATTTTTTCCTCCGAATTGCATTCTCATTATTCTGTTCGATCTTTGCAGTTTTTAAATTATTGATTATCAGAAATTGTAATATTTATTTAATGGACAAATATTGATAAGAGATTATGGCGTATTCCGGAAAATTTTATTATAATTTATTTTAATTTTCTTTATTTTATTTTTTTGTTATAATAATTATTGTAATTTATTATCTGATTTTTTTTTCTAGAAAGAAATTTCGTTGCAGATTTTTTCATGCGAATTGCATTCTCATTATTCTGTTCGATCTTTGCAGTTTTTAAATTATTGATTATCAGAAATTTTAATATTTATTTAATGGACAAATGTTGATAAGAGATTATGGGGTATTCCGGGGAAAATATTGGCTTGATAATAAATTGAGGGAATTGGGTGATAATTTGAGGGAGTGATTTTGAGGGGAAATATTAATTTTAATTTCGTCGCAGGTCTGTACTGATACTGTAATTTTTCGCATGATTCATTAGTCAATACCGTCATTACCCATGCGAACCGACTACTCTGATATTTCAAATGGAAATATTATTGTCGTCCTATCGCGGGCATTAATGGGCAATTGGGAGGACAAGCGGATTTGTCCAATGAATTCTCATTACAATAACAATATCGTTTTATCGTGCCTCCACAACTCTCGGTGATGTTGAATATGAGTGAGAAGACTATCCAGGAAAATTGAATCCCAGGAGATCCTCTGTTATCTCGATTTTTCAACATCATCCGATAAAAAACAGTAGAAATATCGTTGACTATTAATTAATTCACATAAATTCGTGAATTAACGAGCCATTATACTAATTTCCCTCGATAGTCTCTTAATTCCTGACTCCGGATGGAGAGAATTTTAATATAAATTCCAAGATGGCAAGATCCCGAATGAAAACAATTTTCTTCAAAGCTTCATTGGAAATATCTCCAATAAAAGGTATTTCGCTAGTATAACAACTCGTATTTTCACTGAAAATTTTGCACTTTCCACACAGAGACAAGTGTATATTCGCCGGAAGAAGTGAACGTCTCGGTGGAGTTGGAAAATATTACAGAGTCCTCAGCGACATCAGTTCACTCCTCCACACCAAGAGATATCTTATTTTTCCCCAGTACTGGAGAATATTCCCACCAAGATAAAATTCTCATAAATGTTTCTCAAAAGATCCCGAGATAGAGATCAAGAATAACTAAAATAGATTGATCGCTTGCGATATCAAGTTTCGTGAGTAAGAAAACGAGAGACAGATGGAGGTGAAAAGTTAAAGTGGAAGATTGAAGTTGGAATGAAAACTTTTCGTACTGTTAGGATAATGGGAGTAAAGATGAGAATATTGGGAGTATTTCTGCTGTGTCAATGGCTTGTTGTGGGTTTACCACTGGAACCCCAGATGATGATGCCAGACAGTGGTGAGAAAATTCAGATAATTATAACAGGATCTGAGGGCTGAATTGGCGTTTGCCTCGGGAATAACTAATCACAGATTAATAATTATCCAGGAATACGGGAGGGCACGTACATCAGACACTATACCCCAGTTATTTACGATATCGAGATGCTGAAGAGACACAGAACGAGAGCCAGACGAGATATTCGGGGAACTGGAGAGACTGTTTGCCTCAATCTCACTGCCTTTGATAGGTATTTGAACACCTCCCCCTTTTTCTGTTTATCACTGCACTATATTTTCACTTGATACTTAAACTGGGAGATCGGTAATCCCAAGACTCGAAACACTAGGTGTATTTGAGTGTTAATTAGGAGTGGATTAAACAGCTAAGAGGAAACATGCTTGCGTGATTTTTTTTCATGTATAAATTATACGGGAATAAAATATAAAGTATACTTGAGTCAAGTATATATTTTAATGTAAAAGTGAGTAAAAGTGGCCCCATCTAACAATCCATATCTTCAAGTATCCATATTGTTTAAAGTATACTTTAATAAAGTATATTTTTAGATTTTACGAATGAGCGAATGTAATTAATTATCAGGTGTTTTAAATAAGTATATAAATATGAATATTTTAAGTATAAAGTATACTTGACTCAAGTATATATTTTTCCGGTGGACAAATGGGTGATCCTGACTAATTATCAATGGTCGAGCAGATAACAAGGGCTGTCATTCAACCGTAGAGGTAGCTAATAGCAGTAATGACTGATAAGTGCCGTGATGAGTCGCTGGTGGAGCATTATGACAACCGCCCCAACGGTTTCAGTCAATTTGCATTTGCTGTTCGCGTTAAGTGGCCGCAGTACACCCATGTATTAACTGGAGTTTCCATTTAACGGGTAATGATTCACGGTATGCCCTCGATAGTCCCACCAGGGTATCTTTCCATCCGAAAAGGATAATTGTCGTGTGCGATACACCACGGATAACCGATCACGAATATCCTTTATCTACTTTAGTTAAAGATTCATTCAACCAATCCATTTTATTATTCCTCTGTGGCGAATATTGCCTTTCAACTTGGTTTAATCTAATTTCAGAACTTATAGAATGCGCCTCGTTCGGGATACAACTCTCTATCATGAAAATGCCATCTTCGAGACATCGAGTGGTCCAATATCATTCGATTCGTCTCACATCTACAGGGGAACCCTCGAGGGTGAGTTCAAAATAATTGTATCATCCCTTCAATAATTTATCACTGTCCATTTCTCCTGGCATTGTCTTTTCCCAGATTTTTTTTTTTATCAAATTTTTACCGACTGCTCAATTACTTGGATGAAAATTTCAGTCACGTTCGAGCGTCTCCGGTAAATTCAATAGGAAGAATGGTGAACACAAAGGGAAAAATGAGTGTGAAATAGAAAAGCGATGTAATCGGTAAACAGACTGTCGGATAAATTGAATATGCAATCAATTTTCTCACTGTAGATAAAAGAAAATCCGGTCAAAGAACGATAAAAAGGCATGGAGTGGTTGGTTGACACTGGCATTCCCATGCTGAGGCTGGAGTCTGGGAATGAGAGGGATAATTCGATTTTCCAGATTCACTAGTTTCTCCTACACCTTTTGCACGGTACATCGTGGCTTGGAAATTCGAGGGAGGTGAATCCACTCAGGACGAGTGGAAATGGAAGTTCTGGGTGTTTCTGTATGTATAAGTTGACAATTCGGAATCATCCGGGGACAATTCCCTGGCTATCGGAGCGAACCAACGACTCGATGCACTTGACTTGGTGTCAACCAAAATGGAATATTATTTTTAATGACAATAATTCATTGACATTTGAAATTTAATTGCACCGAGCTAGATTGATGCGTGATATGAATAATTCTGACAATTTTCTGGGGTGGAGATCACGAGGACACACCATCCTCGAGCACAATTCACCGAAAAAGTCCATTTTCATTTGTATTCCCGTTGACCGGGACTGGGTAGTCTCCTGGGAGCTGTATGAACTCATCCTGGATCTCTGATCCGGGTTGAACTGCAGTCCAAATTGGAAAGCTGCTTTGCGACTGACAGGAGTGGCTCGTGTGTCCCAGATATATATCTTTACATTCTAATACCACTCAAGCACTCCGACGCGCATAAATTTAAAAATCCAATAGACAGATTCCTGCTCGCTCCTCTGTGGAAGAGTTGGAGACAGGGGGAGGTTGTTAAGAGAATCTCCGAGGTACTTGCTCTGTGAATGAAAATCGTAATTCTGGGAGATGGTGAAAAATTTTTTTTTCATTTGCCATTTTTTCATGGGTTTGGGAATCCCAATGCCATCTACGGGGTGAATATATGCAAAATAAACATTTGGTCGACGAAATAAATTAATGATGGAAACAAGTAATTTTCATTCACCGAAAATGGTAGATCGGGGTCGGTTTGGAGGTGAAATTTTATTTTTATTATGATGTGCCGAAAAGTAACTTTTTACGCACGCCTCGCATGACCAAAAAGTGACTTTCCCGCACATTGTGAAGGAAAATATTGTTGGTAACTTAACCGACGGTAGTGGCCGGGTACCATCCCGGCCACCGGCGGTCAAAATTTATAGCGTTCCGATCTCACAGTCCTGTCAAAAAAAACTACTGGACCAGGGCAGATTTTTTCTCTCCCTACGGCATATTGTGCACAGGGGGTTGGGGGTGGTAAGGGAACAAATCGTAAAGACCCGCAAGGGTATACGAGAGGAAAAGTTTACTGTTGGCAACTCGTGCACAAAGTGATTTTCGGCATGTGGGATTATAACAAAATCACTGTTCCGAACTTGTTACGAAATATACTATTTTTTATTCTCGATTTTTCAACTTGTTTGAGGATTTTAATATCATCTATGGAATGAATATACTCGAAATCAACTTTTGGTTCAAAAAATTCAATTTTGGAAAAAAGTAATTTTTCTCCACAAAAATTCTAGATCGGACTCCGGTTTAGGGGTGAAGATTTTTTATTTTTATTTTTTATTTTTCAACTTGTTTGAGGATTTTAATATCATCTATGGAATGAATATACTCGAAATCAACTTTTGGTTCAAAAAATTCAATTTTGGAAAAAAGTAATTTTTCTCCACAAAAAATTCTAGATCGGACTCCGGTTTAGGGGTGAAGATTTTTTATTTTTATTTTTTATTTTTTATTTTTCAACTTGTTTGAGGATTTTAATATCATGTATTGAGTGACCGTACGTAAAATAAACTTTTGGTTGATGACAAAATTCAATTTTAGAAAAAAAAATCACTTTCCTCCCCCATACCAGTCTCCACTCCAGGGGGTGAAACATACATTTCCCGGTTCTCCTTTTTTGATTTATTTCTAACATCATCTACTACCCGAAATATTCAGAATCAACTCTGCGTTTGATGAAAAAATTCAATTTCATCCCGACTTCACATTTCTCTCCCATAGATCACGTCCCCGAGTTGATTAAATAAAAATTCCATTGGCGCAGTGGTTTCTCCGGAGTGAAATGCCCCCCTCAGAGTGAAAATATCCCAAAAGACGTATAAGTCTGGTTGATATTGGACAATGTGGTCTCCACATGCTCGGATTGAAACCGGCCAATCGGTCTAGCTGTGCATAAAAATATATCGAAAATAATAAAAGGCAAAACTACAGTGCTGGCACGTTACCAGCGAGTTTTCCAGGTGGCTGGGAAATTAAGCTGCGCTTCACAGGGTCTCGGTGGCCACCAGCGGATTGCCCACAATATACGCTCCGTCGAATTTACTATTTCCGCCCCTGTCTTTATCTTCCCTCGTCTTTCCGGCTAACTCCATTCTCTCATCACTCTATTTCCCCTTTATTCCATCTTAATCCTGTGTGGTGGGGGTTCATAGACCTCATAAAATCCACAGGCAAGTGATCCTATATGAAAGAAAAATCCCATCGACAAGTACCAGAAGATTTCCAACAGAAGACAAAAATCTGACGCATCTAGCGGCATAAAATAGACCCAGTAATCCCTGACTTTTTTTACGAATTCAGCGATGGGACTTTGAAAAGTCAATGACCATTTCAAAGATGATAGAAATACCTCTGGGATGAAATAAAAATGGAAAAATTCGACTCAGCCAATCTCCAGTTATCTCTCATGAACGAATTGGAAAAAAAAAACAATAGGAAATTGTCGACATGTTCGATGGATGTTGGATTTAGCGAAAAAGAGAAAAAAAATGTTTGGATATGGGTAGACAGATGAAGATTGAAGAGATTTACTGGTCGCAGAGGTATCACTGGTGCCAGCAAGCTTTTAGTATCTTTTCTTCTTCTTGGTAGGATGAAGGCATAAAAATGATGCGAGTAGACACAGGGAGGATATGACACACGATCTCGTTCAAACTACTCAAGCGATATTTCATTTCAATGGCCAGATGTTGTCGCCTCAATGCCTCACCCTCTGAGCCATTCAAAAATGATGTACCACATGAAACACCATATATTACCTGCCCTGGATAAAACTAATAGGAGATGAGGAGGTGATCCTCCTAAATTATTTTCTTAAATATTTTCACTACACCCAACGACACAAGGATAGTTTCAACAGCGAGTTTAACCCGTCGCTCTCTGAAACTTTTTAATTGGTAGGAAATAATGCAGAGTCGCATATTTTTTTCCGTCAACTCCGCAGTCGCAATCTCTTCAACTTCTTTCAAACGTGAAAGTCCGTTATGTTCCAGAAAGTAATGTAACGTAATTTTTATTTGAAAAGAGATTGGGTTAATTCGCAATGAGTTTTTCCACTCTTCAAAGCGATTTTTAAATTCACTGACAAAAGTACCGTCCATGCTCTCACGAATTCAACTTAATTTCGTAGTAATGATGCTGATAATCATAACACCACGTGCAATTTCCACTGGCAGATGTTGATGTTTAAGCGTTATTTAATCGAGTTAAAAAGTGAAAAGGGTCAGGGACGTATGACGTCGTTACACCGTTTTCTCTCGTCTGGCTTTTCATTACCTCTCAGTGTTGTCGTAAAGGGTGCAATAGGGTCATATCCCTCTATCCCGAGTCCATCCCGAGCACTGAATCTTATAAAACGAGCGTATCTCCACAGAAAATGTGTAAAAAAAAAAAAAACTACACCAGATATAATAACAGCTCTGAAAGGAGAGCAGAATGAAAAGGAGAAAAGGGTCTGAAGAGCACACACTTGGCTGAATGGCTCGTGAAGTCTTTTTGAGATTTTTCTTTTTTTCTTTTAATCCATTGAGGAGAGGAGGAACTGTTTAACGCCTTAAACTCTGTTTTTACCCAAGTGCTTGAGAATTGCAATAGCATTTGTACATTAACTACACCTGAGACGATTTATTCAAGTGGATTATTTTATTATTCCTGGGTTTCAGGTGATGACAATGCCAGGGTACATGGCATCATCACCAAGGATGGCTTGTTTGATGGTACTGTTGTTACTGCTGCTGACGAAATTTACATTGAACCAGTGACAAGGTACAGGAGACTTGTCAGGCGAAATGCAGATGTCAGATATCATACTATTGCCTATCGGGTTAATGACATCGTTATGCCGGTGACAGGTCAAATGCAACGTCAATACGTTACTGGTGGTCTCATTGAAAATGTATCCCTCAATCAGACGTAAGTTCAATGGAATTTACACTATTTCACTAGTGATATCCCAGATTTAAAGGTTCAATTCAATTATTTTTATTCTTTATGGAGTTTATTGCAAGAGAAATACAACAAGTGCTTTTTCTTTCTGGAGGCTTTCACCTGAAGGCCTCCAGTCAAAAGTCAGCAAGACGAATTTATTTGACGGATTTTTAGTTTTATGTCTCAATTTTATCATTTTTCTGTTTTAATCCGCGAATTATTTAATTATGGTAATTATTTGCAGGATTTATTACACTTATGTTAACAGGGTTTTGTTGTTGGGGATGTTCTGACGGTATTTTTTAATTTTTTTTAGTGTTCTGGGATTTATTGAAAACTATCGGTCGGATTGGGATATGAAAATATAGCGTTTGTTCGTTACGTCATGATTTATCCGTTCACAAAATTTATTGATTTTTTATTAATATAAATCTCAGAAAAACAGGAAAAATAAGAAAATACCAGACATCCTTGAATTGAATTTATAAATATTTTTATGTTTTAATGGATGAATCAATAAATTTTCAATATTTTTATTATGAATTTATTATTATTATTATTATTTATTTATCATTATTATTTATTTATTTGTATATTAATTTTATTAATTTGTAGAATAAGTTGAATTTTCTTCAACAATTTTCCCTTTCGAAATGCTAATTAAAACTGTTGAATAAATATTAAAAATTTGGATGAAAGATTTGAATTTATGAATATTTTGATATTGCAATAAATGAATTATTCAATTCCCCCCGTCAATCTACCGTGGAGTACATACCCATGTACTCCAATTCAGGATGCATTCACAAGTGGCATGACACACGACAATTTCCAGCGATAATATTAGCATAACATGGGCCTAGCCAGTAGAAGCTCCTCCCCGATTAATTACAGATACATGTACCACTGGTAATGAACCGAGAGTGGGTGTGGAGGGCTTGGATAAAATAATTTTCCAGCCCCTTTGAATTTCACCCCAGTGTCTCATTGGAGCATTTCCACACCCCAAAACCTGTGTTTACAGATTAAATTCCCCAAGGCAGACATTCAACAACGCATTCACCAAAGAATTTTATCCGAGGGATGATACGATAAACCGATCGAACAGCATTTACGGAGGCGATGTAGACAAGTACGCAATGGCATTATTTCACGAAAACAAAGATATACTTGAATCAAGTACATTGTACATTCAATCTCAGAACAAACACCCATTAAAAATTATTTCAATTATTTTTTTTGTTAATCTTCAACTTTTCGCGGTGTTTAAAGGAAGATGAATAGATGAATGAAGGATTTAGTAATTAGTCGAGAAATATAAATAATGCAAGATTTTGTTAATTTTCTTTTTTATACAGACACCCATTAAAAATTATTTAAATTATTTTTTTTTTAATCTTCAACTTTTCGCGGTGTTTAAAGAAAGATGAATAGATGAATGAACTATGGATTTAGTAATTAGTCGAAAAATATAAATAATGCAAGATTTTTAAAATTTTCTTTTTTATACAGACACCCATCAAAAATTATTTCAATTATTATTTTTTTTTTAATCTTGAACTTTTCGCGGTGTTTAAAGAAAGATGAATAGATGAATGAAGGATTTAGTAATTAGTCGAAAAATATAAATAATGCAAGATTTTTCAAATTTTCTTTTTTATACAGACGAGACCGTGTGCGCGTGCTCTTCACGCGCATTCATTCGAAATATTCGAGATATATCATTCGAGTCATTCAGGAAATTTCGAGATCGATTTCCTTAACCCTTTTTATATGAAAAATTCAATAATAAACTCATAAAATCGTTGAACAATGAAAAAATGATTCTTCCGTGCATTTGATTTTTCCGCGCTTCCAAAAACAGTCGAATCATCCCGACCGGAAAAACGTTTTTTATTTCAACATCCTTCACAAATACCGTAAATTGTGTACGATAATTAAAATAAAAAACAAAGCCGCGAATTTTTTTTTCACCCAAAAAAGCGACGAAATATCCGCTGTATATATCTATATGTCAATGAGAAAAATCCCAGAAAATTCTCATCAATTTTCTCCCCAACAGCAGCAAATGTTGTAATTAAAAAAAATAGGAATAAATGAAAAATAAAAACAGTGCATGGCATTGAAAAAATAAATAGAACTGCTGGGATTTTAGGGATCGATTGATACGAGTGTTACGGAACCGGAAATCTGTCGACCCAAAAAAAACAACGTGCATGTTGTATCTGCAGGCAGATCACACGTTCTTCGATCACTATAAATCGGAGGAGGCTTGCATCGAGGTCATGACCCGTCACGTTCAACGAGTCAATTCGATTTACCGTTACACAGGTGAGCTTTTTTTTAAATATCTACAGATCCCCTTGATTGCCAGTACATCAGTGATTTTTTTATCATCACGTTATCACTTTATACTTCCCCCTCTATATTTGAATACAAATCACCCTTTCGTGTCTTATCGGGGAGAGTACAAGTGATTCTCGTTCAATATCGTCGTACGATACCTGCTATCGGCACGTACCAGTAATTAACGCATAATTTATTCACCCGATGAGTCTATGAATTTCAAACAAGCCGTGATGATCGACTAACGAGATCTTTTCCTGCTCTCCGGGACAATTTGCAGACTTCAATCAGGACGAGCATCCGGACAACATAAGTTTCATGATAAAGAGAATTAAAATATATGGTAATGACGCCCTCGATAATCCATCGTACCGATTTACCGGGAAGTACGGGGTGGAGGAGTATCTTGAGCTGTTTTCCGGTGAGTTAGAGAATTTTTTATTATCGTTATGTACAAATGTCTGTCATTTGAATCGGGGTCTTAAGGATCCCGATCAATCCGAGAATTTTACCGTAATAATGATGAGAGCTCATTCATTGTTCCCATCGAATCACCCATAGTCAAAATTCACGTTTTTTAAATTTTTTGACAAATTATCGATCGGATTGACGTGAGGAAATAAATTTTTGACGTTTCTCATTATTTGATGGCTCACGAAATTTTTGATGGGTCGATGATTTTTATGCATTTTCTCTACAATTTTGTGATGACTTTTAAGAGCTTAGAAAAAAACCCAGAAAAATATTCACACTACCACAAAAATTTGTGAGTCATTGAATAATGATAAAACGGAAAAACATCATATTTTTTCATGTCCATCCCATAGCACCTTTGTCATAAAAATGAAAAAACATAAATTTCGGTGTATGTATATGGATGTAGAATCCTTAAGGATATTATGGCGGATGACAATACTTAACCCGCCAAAAAAAACGTAGAGAATTAAATGGAAATTGTTGAACAAATTATTCGATTCATATGAAAGCTGTCGACTTTCAAGACCCCCACGAGAATAATAATTAAATAATAATAACGCGAATAAATTATCAAGTTGCTAATTATCCACACGGTGAGATAGGAAATCATTAATTTTCATTGAATTCTCTACTTTTTATAAAGTATTGTCTTGTTTATAAAGTATTATTAAAAAAAATTATCGATTTCTTGAATTTTGTGACAAATTGTCGATCGGATTACCCCGAAAAAATCTAGACTTTCTTCATTTCATCATTATTCCATAACTCACGGAATTTGAGGAACATGGGATGATGTTTCTGTTTTTGTTTAATTTAATTTCATTTTATTTTTGAAAAAATTTTAAAAGACGCGGGAAAGCTATTGCAGGATCAAGACACTATGGGGACCATTAGATAATGATAAAGTATGGAAGCGTTGATTATAATAATAATATATAATAAAAAAATATATATATATTAAATATATATTATTTCCACTGCATGGTGTTATATCTTTTACAATATAATGATAGAGAATTATATATATATATTTATATATATATAATATCCATGTAATATCGATATAATTAATATGCATAAATATAATATTCCTATATATTATATATAATTAAAGGATTTGTTCATTGGTAAAATTACCATGTCACTCTAAATTGAAATGCAAAATTTGAAATTACATGAAATCAGCAATCATTGTGTGATATTATTCCAGAATGAATAGCCCCTCTCTATAATTATCCGCGCTTCAGCTGCACTTTGAACCGTTAAATAATACCGGAAAAGGGGTAATCTAACGGCTGTAATGATGTAAACAAGTGCAGAATTTTTTTTTTTACCAGTGGCAATTCACTTCCATTTGGCCATTTCCCCGTTCACTCAATTCAATTTGGGGTGGGTTTATGTTTGCTCCAACTAGATTTATCCTTTTTTTTCATTCCCCCCGTAATGCTCGTCTTTCTCTCCACTGATACCTCGGTGGAGGTTCCATTCATCTGGCCCACGTATTCCGTTTAATTCCAGAGGAAAATTACGACGCTTTTTGCCTGGCGTACATGTTCACTTATCGTGATTTTGAAAAGGGAACACTGGGTCTTGCATGGACTGGAGACCTGAAGAATGCGGGTGGAGTATGTGAGAAAAATGGGGTAAATAGTGGTTTAATCTCTCGAAAGGTGTGTAGATAGATGAAAAAAACAAAAAAAAAATCATGAAATATATATCGATCGTAGCACTACCGTGGTAGCATGAAGTCCCTCAACACCGGAATAATAACTCTCCTAAACTACGGAAAGCACGTACCACCAGCGGTATCACACGTCACCCTAGCCCACGAAATTGGTCACAACTTCGGTTCACCGGTAAGTTTTCGTTCTAATCACTTGTTCCAATAGCTTTTACCTGGAGTTGAATGAACCCCGAGACTAGTGGACTCTTGGTCGAAACAGTGTGGTTTAATTAAATTTAAATGTCCAACGTCTGGTAATCATGGCAGCACGATCCAGACCGTTGTTCACCCGGAGGTGAGGACGGTAACTTCATAATGTTCGCACGAGCGACCAGCGGGGACAAGCGAAATAACAATCGATTCAGCCCGTGCAGTCTACTCTCCATCAATCCTGTGTTGAATACCAAGGCACGCTCCACCAAGGGCTGTTTCGCTGGTAAATACCATTTCTCATGCTTCCACGATCATCGATTGCTATCTCTATTTGTCCAATCACAGCGACACGTGTCGATTCTTAAATCGAACTGTTGATTCTTCAAGATGTAGTCGGTGCTCTTCTACAATCGTCTCCAATCGTCTCCAATCGTCTCCAATCGTCTCCAATCGTCTCCAGTGGTCTCCAACCGTTTCCAATAATTTCCAATAATTTCCGATCTATTCATCATCTTCAGTCCCTTGACACTCCCTTGATGACCAAATTTTACCCTCAAATTGTCAAAATTTTCACTCAACGACACACAAAATTGACAAGTAAAATTGATGGCAATTCTCATCCGGTGAATTTCTCCCTCCAGAACAACAAACAGCCATTTGTGGAAATGGAGTTGTCGAAGATGGAGAGGAATGTGATTGTGGTTGGGAGGAGGATTGCAATGATCCCTGCTGTCATCCTCAACGACTTCATCATGCTCCCTTCGAGATACCCTGTCGTCTCACGGAGAATGCTGTCTGCAGTCCCAGTCAAGTAAGTACCCCATCACCCCTTGCCACAGTAAATATTTAATCAGCTATCATCCAGATCCTGCTGAATTCAACCCACCAAGTGTCTGGATATCTCAATACTATGTTTAGTTTAATCCGTTTGAAGGATTCAACTGTGCACTTGAGTTAGCCGCGGGTTTATTCCGCTTGGTAGTCAACACAATCCACCGAGATTACTGTATAAACACTTTGCATTTGATTATTAAAGGGTCCATGCTGCTCACCAGAATGTTCACTGCGTAATGGAGAGAAATGCAGGGATAATAATGGATGCAGAGACGCAAGTTTCTGCGATGGACTCACTCCCCAGTGTCCACCATCCATTAATAAACCCAATAAAACTATCTGCAATGAGGAATTCGTCTGCTTCATGGGGGTGAGCAAATTTGATAAAAAATTTTGATAAGAAATTTAAATCACTGCGGGGTAATATCGATATTTCCTTATTTTTTTGATTATCCAAGATGTTGAGCGCCTAATTAATAATCATTTAATTATTATCGAATTAAATGACAAACTGATGCTTCCGAAAAAAATCATTTTTTTCATTTTTTTAACGAGAATAAATTTTGTTTGAAAAAGATGATAGACGCAGAGGCAATTAGATATTTTCTGCATTATTCACTTTTTTAAATATTTTTGGAAAATGCCACTTGACAATTTATAAATCGACTAATCGCTGAATAATTAATAAAAAAAAAGTAAAAAATTGAGAACGGAATGTATAATGAGTGTCCTATTACCCCCGCATAGCAGTAATTAATAATGAATAATAAAAAATGAAAAAAATAAGTGCCGATTTACTCGATAAATTGACAGGAGTGCACAGGAAGCATTTGTCTTGCTTACGGCCTAGAATCTTGCCAATGCAGTGCGGGCCCGATCGATCCTCCAACCAAGAGTTGTGAATTATGTTGTAAACTACCCGGAGAGGACCAAGCATGCATGTAAGTATCGGTGCAAATAAATCAATCCCCATGATCTGAATCGTCTCTTCATTACGAATAGATCATCCTTCGAGTGGAACAGCCCACCCTACGAGATTCCAGACATGATGTCCAAACCAGGCACACCCTGTAACGACTACAACGGCTACTGCGATATTTATCAGAGATGCCGAGAGGTAAATTTCATCATTGAATCCCAGAATCTTATCATTAATACTGAATCGATTGAATTTACGGTATCGATCGACAAATACCTGTTGAATTACACAACATCGAGTCTATTAATTAGTTTCTCCTATTTATTTTCTCGGAATGATAAATAGGTCGATCCAACTGGACCCCTGGCAACTCTCAGGCGATTATTACTCTCCGATATGAGTATGGAGAGGGTTCACAGATGGATAACCGACCGGTGGTACGCCATTACCCTTGGGATACTCGGTATCATCAGTAGTTTGGTGAGATAATGACAACGACAGATCATTGAAATCCAACGACAATTCATCTAATGATCGTTATTATTCATCAATTACTAATTCCCAACAGATTATCCTAACGATCTCATTCAGCAAACGCTCGAAGGCTAACCTGAGGATGTTATACACAACTTCTGAGGACTCATCAATTCGACATTTGCATACAGAGCCTGAAAATGATCGGCCTAAGTGGATAATTGGCACAATCAGTGCGAAAAACATATCGAGGATCAAACGGAGAATTCTCGAGACCATGAAGAGAATTGCATCACCGAGAAAAACAAGTGATCTCATGCCACTACCACCTGATCATCTCTCGAGGTCCGTTAAAATGTGACAATGATTTTATCATTGAGGAGAAATATTATTTTTTAATATTATTACATCCCGATCTCCCCCTACCCCCCCTTCCCTCCATCACTCGCCCCCTTCCCTTCCTCATTCGCCCCCTCCCGGGCGGATTGCATTACAGGTAATGCATTTTATTGGCCAACAATTTGGTGATTTATTAATTAAGAAAATCCGCCAATCATGCTGCCAAGTGATATTAAGGTGTAAGAAATTGAGCTACAGCTCTTGTAAATATTGTAAAGAATTTATTTAAATGTCCGAGAGCTACCAAATTATTTAGTTATCGAGGAATGGTATATGATAATCATTATGTAATATTGTTAATGTGAGTAGGGTAGAGCAATTAGTTGTGTCGAAATTACGTGATTAGATATTAATTACTCGAGAGTGAATATCATTTTTACGAAATGAATTTTATTAACAACTTTCAAGTGACATCGCACGTTAAATTTTAACGTATCATTTTCGGTATAATATATTTCACAAGGAGCAACATGGAATTCTTAGAAATATAACACTCTTCAAGATTATTTTTACTCGTGTCTTTTGATTAATTGTTTAAAGCATTGACACAGAGGTAAATTGATTCTTTGGCATGATCGGAGATGACATTTTTGTTCTCTCCATACGATATTCAAAGCGTTTATCGATTATACACTTGATTAACGAGTTGAACATTTAATTGAATAACTGTGAAAACTATTTTCCCTCCGGTGAAAACCCATTGACAATTTGGAAAATTCAACACTAATATTTGTAGAACTGTGAGTAATATAAATTGATCGTTTATTGACTCTTGTCAGTGATTTTTGTCTTGATTGATAAGCTCGCCTACTCTTGGGCCCCCAACAATTGCCAACAATTCAATTTCCCAATGGCAAAACCTCCTCCTCCTAAAAGAAAAAAAAAATGCGTCAGAGCTGTCAGTGAAAAATTGCCCTACGCATAATGACACTGTCAGCAATAGCACGGATTTCTAGGTCTAGGAGGCTCTGGCTCATGGCATCGCAAAACTCGTTGATGAGGTAGCAGTGATGTGTCGACAGTGGCTTCCATTCTACGCATTACTCTATCTAGTAAAACATCAACAGCACGTGCAATATTCTGTCCAGTGGCTGCACTAGTTTCCAAATATACCATGCTAAAAAAAAAAATAACAACATTTTCACCTTCATTAATTAAACACGCACGATTCCAATGTGAAAATAAACGATATCGTGCCTTACCCATATTTATTGGCGAGATCTCGTGCTTTTTCTTCGCTCACAACCCGTCGATCCTCCAGATCGGATTTGTTACCACATAAAACGATATCTGGTTCCTCACAATATGCATGGGTCTACGGAAACCATCAAAACCCCAAGTTATCTTATCTCAAGAGGACAATATATTCGCCATACGTATATATTGAAAAATATATACATCAAATATATACATACGATCGGCCCACTTTCTCCAAAATGGATACCCTAAATATATAGATCGGAAATTCTGGGGTCATACGGACGCTCAAAAATAAATAAATAAAATCCAATTGGAAAATGAAAAAAAAATTATTCTCTCCGCAATTTTTTCCATTTTTCCATGGTTAAACAAATAAATTCATAAATTGTTGATTGACGAATTGTCAAGTAAGATTCTCCAAAATTAACATTAAAACATCCGAATTTATTGAGACGATTTTTTGTTAATGAATAAACAATATAAACAATGTTTAAAGAATTATTCCTTCGAGAGCCTCAATTGACATTAAATCTGATAAATAACTAATAAATATAATAATAATAATAATCGCAGGATGATCATTATTACTTATTACTATTATTATTAATTATATTATTATTTTAAATAGTCAATTTGCGATAGGAAAAAAAATTAAACAGTTTTGATTGCTAAAAAAATCATGTTCATATCACCCCGTACACTCCCCCATATATATTTAGCAATAATAACCTGGACTATATATTTTCCATATATTTACCCGTCAGAGCGTAAAATTGACGTGCGAAAGGAGGTCAGTGGGTCAGTGGACAATAGCGCGATATCGACAAAACCAATAAAAAAAAAAATCGAGTGGATATTCTACCTTGAGCTGCTCCAGCCAATTCCTCACTTCGAGGAAGGATTGCTCATTCGTGAGATCGAACAACAGGATAAAACCCATCGAGTCGCGATAAAAAGCTGTCGTCAAACTCCGAAACCTGAATATAATCATTGACTAATCAACAAAGCACTACTCGAATTATGATAAAAAAAACTAACAAATGAGTTGAATGTGAGTCAGTTGAATTGAATTCCTAATTACCTCTCCTGTCCAGCGGTGTCCCACAATTGGAGATGCACCCGCTGAGTTCTGCCATTGGTAGTTCTATAAATCTACTCAATTACCCCCCAGATAACGGCATTAATATTACAAACCGGAACTCAAAATGGATAACAATAATCTTACCACTCGTTTCTCCCGGAAGTCAATGCCAACAGTAGAAACGAATCGTGCGTTAAAAAGTCCATCGGTGTAGTGATACAAAAAGCTGGTTTTACCGACCCCAGAGTCACCGAGTGCCAAAAATTTGATCAAGTAGTCGTAATCCATAATTAAATATCAGAATTAACAAATATCCGCTCTATCAATTGACAAAGCATTAACATCCGTTGTCATAATCAGTAGAAATATTAATGAAACATGTGGCCAACTGCATGCACCTGAACACCTGTTGCCATACGTTAACAATATCAGTTGAGAGTACCGCTGAGCATTTGAAATACCAAATGAAACTTCCGAAACTATCGCCGACCGACAACAGAATCAGGTACACCCGATTGACTCCAAGCAGATTGAAAAAATTTAACAAATTGAACAAATCGAACTTGTCACTTTGGCAGTTTGATGAATTGTTTAGCTACTCTACAGTTACACTTGCAATATGGCGATAGCTGATTAAGCTACTGTCACAAACACAAACGATTGGATGTATGGCATTAGCTTCTTCCTTGGCAAGAGCATGCGTACTGAGACCACAGGTGTGACTTGTCGTTTAATTTATTCCGATAATCCAACGAGTGGACGATAACGAGCACCAGTCCCCATGACAATAGTCAGTGAAATGAAAGGGACGATTCACCAAGAAACATGAATATTAAAATGGAGAAAGATGCTGGCGCGCTTTTTCAATGCAGATCTTCATCATAAATAGCCAATCACACAAGTTGTACCACTGCTACATCAGAATCCATCAGAATCCGAATATTCTGCGCCAGATGAAAAGGCAGCATTAGCATCATTTTCCAATTTATGATGCCTCCACAACAGCTGGTTATGTGTTAACCGAGCAAAAATAGGGAGTACAGGAGAATTTCAGGTGACAGATCTAGATGTGAGGGAAGCTTAACGGCTTCATGGAGTGGGGATGCTTTTAAACACAGCTGGATGTCAACCATGAGAGTTATCTCGGACGAAAATAGATGAAAATGAAAAATGCCGGGGAGAAATACGAAGAGACGACTGGGTGTGGAGTACCGCGTGGTGGAAAATCAGTTCATGAATTGGCGCTTGTAACGTACATCTTGTGATATTCAATCGTCGAGTGGATTTATCACTGATAACGATGAAGAGGCATTACGTGCGTTCGTCAGTGCGCAGCAGAGATTCATCAAGCACATCAACAGGTTTGGATCCCAGGGAGAGGGTCAAGGATTGTTGCAGAAAGCTGGTGGCCTTCATGTGCACACAAGTTGGTGTTGGTGGGCTTGTCGTGGGATATGCTATTGTCGGGGCTATGGGTTTCATAGCGATTGAGACCCAGGAGGAGTATCCCCATGTTACTGCCATCGTTAAGCTCAGGAGAAATTTTTCCGAGCAACTTTGGAATCATACTGCCGGCGACAGGAGAGTCAACATCATCAATAAGACAGCTTTCTACAGGAATACTGATGTTATTCTTCAGGATTATCAGAGCAATGTTGTGGATGCTATCAAGGGGGGATACAACAATAAAACTGTTATCGAGGTCTGGAGTGTACCTGCTGCACTCATGTACAGCTTGTCAGTGTTTACGATGATTGGATATGGGAATATGGTGCCGAGAACTGCCTGGGGTAAAGGGGCCACCGTTCTTTATGCCATTTTTGGGATTCCCCTTTATGTACTGTACTTTCTCAATATGGGGACGGTTCTGGCTGGAACTTTCAGGTCTGATTATTTTTTTTTTCTATTACCGGAACCGAATTGGAATCGCCTGAGAATTATTCGATCGGAGAAATAACGATTTAAAAAAATTCATGCTTCTCACAAATAAATTAATCTTTGACACAATCTTTTTTTTTTGTGTAGAATTATAGGCAAATTTTTCGCGGCAATTTGAACTCTCGTAAATTTTATTCGATAAAATTGGGATTAATATATTGTTTTTGGATTTTTAAAATTTTCTTTTTTTATTAATTTTTAGATGGCTCTATCGGTGGTTTCACGAGTGCACGGGGAAGATTCGACCTGGGCAAAAAATCACGGTACCCTCGACCGCTTGTCTCTGGGTAATATCGGCGTATGTCCTCGTGGGTACTATAATGTTTGCCCAATGGGAGGGCTGGGACTATCTCGATAGCGCCTACTTCTGTGTAACATCACTATGTAAAATTGGAATGGGAGATTTTGTACCCGGTGCCACATTCGCCGACGTTGCCAAGGACGGACATCTCAAACTCGTTATTAACTTTATATATCTACTCCTGGGGCTCGGACTACTCGCCATGTGTTACAATCTCATGAGGGAAGACGTCAAAGAAAAGGCCAAGGAATTGAAAGCAGACGTCATCGACGCTTTCGAAGACTTCAGAGAGAGAATCATCGCGTGTTGTCATTCCGATGATATTTGACGATCTGATACGTGAAATAATGATCAATAAATCGATTTAAATTGAGGGACAATTTTCGTTCGATTTTTAAGATGGAAAAAATTCTTTGAGAGATTTTTTGGAAATTCAGATATTTCTACTCTCCCATCGGTTGAAAATCTAATCACCTAAGTTGAAAATCCATGAGGACTTGAGACTTTATTTTTTTCAAGTCTTAATTCCAGGCGGACTTAAGACTTACTGGTTGCGCCCTCCTGGAGGTGGGGTCGATACTAAAATTCCTAGAGTGACACCAACTCCTCGTTAAGAGCCTCTACCCAGGTCTATCCTCTTTGATTATAACTGTGCAATGACTATTATTTATTTATGAAAAAAAAATAATCGGTATTTCCCATAGTGTTTTTTATCCAACATCATTCATTTTTCGAGCAGGTTTGTTATATCCCTGGTGTAATGTGCGGTCAGGAAAATAAAGCCATGAGTGTGCAAGATACAGTGGAAATATTGACACAGGAGTGTATTGAACTCAAAAGAGCACTAGCTGCCAGTGATGATAGGGAGAAGGAAAAAATTGTCCTCAAGCATATAATCAGCAGAGCCAACACCGATCTACGTGTCAACGACTTCCAGAAAGGTTTTTACGTCCTTATAATTCCCAAATTATTCATGTCAATTATTAACTCGTCTATTAACTCGGTATAACCTAATTTCAACATCGAGGCAAATGGGGTCTTAAATCGTCGATATCTTCCCACTGAACAATGCAATTTCCAAAATTCAAATTTCATTTTAAAGCCCCAAAAACCGCCTTCAAAATCCTTCCAGGAATTGAGGTATTGTCTCTGTCAATCCCGAGGTATTGACGATTAAAGACGGCTTGTTTAATTATCACCTGGATTTTTTGAGGAAATCAACTTTTATTGATTTTTTTGATAGCGAGGATTGTCTAGAGGATTTTGAAATACCATTGGAATTATCACTAGGTCTGTGAGATTATAAAAATCGAGAAATGTCTGTTGAAAGACCTGAACTTGTCGAGGGGAAGGCGCCAGGTACCGATGAAAATTCTAAAGTCAATCGAAAAGAGATCGAGGAGTACAATAAACTCCTGGTGATTGATAAAGAACTCGATGAGGAACTGAATTCGTTGAAGAAGGAGCTGGTAGATGGGCCTTCCATGAAAGAAATAATGTCTGACCTTCACGAGTATAACAACATCAAGGACTCGACTCAAATTGTTTTCGGAGCGATGGCAGAAATGCACGAGACAACAGTCTCCCATTTTCACGATAAATACAATGTACCGAAGAACTGATAAATCGAAATAACTTGTATTTAAAACCCCCCATTAATTACTTAAAAATCATGTCATTGTTCTTTAACGTAATAAATAATAATGTGTAATTCCGGGGATTATTGTTTTATTTGTCTGATAATGTTTCTTGGATAGGACTCGAATGGTTCAATGTCTCCGAGGGATTGTCTGTCTCGAAGCATTTGACCGGTAAAATTGTTATTCTCGACTTCTTCACGTACTGCTGCATAAATTGTATGCACATACTTCCCGATCTCGAGGCTGTGGAGAAAAAATATACCGTCGAGGATGGTTTGGTTATCGTCAGTATCCAATTGCAAGAGAATGCACTGAGAAAAAAAAATCTGATGCCAAATAAACGGAATTGTATCTAAAGACGCGTAGAATATGGCATTTTAACAATTACCTACAGATTAATTAGTAATTGTTTCGATAAACCAAACACTGGAGTATCATCTTTAAAATTACATATTAATTGAAGCATTTATTTATTACGACTTAAAAAATTGAATTATTGTGTAGAAGAATTTGTACCTCCGATATATATTATATACGCTCATCTTATATATAATAATAATTTCATAATTCCGTTTACCTGGCGAAAACCTACAATTTTACGAACGTAGTAAATATTGTTCAGGTCAGAATTTTAATTTCTCAGTGTGTAGAAATAAAATAATTGAATAATAAACACGAGATTTTTCTAAATAGATCGGCGTTCACAGTGCAAAATTTTCCAATGAGAAAGACTCGTCAAAGATTCTATCAGCGGTACAGAGATACAACATCCAGCATCCGGTAGTGAACGACGCAAAATTATCAATGTGGAGAGACATCGGTATAACTTGTTGGCCGAGTCTCGTAATTCTGGGTATAAAAAATATATCCTAACGCCCTTTTCTTTTTCACCCTCTGAGGTAAAACTAAAAAATAAATAATTGGTGAAAAATAGGTCCTCAAGCCCAGCCCCTTGCCGTCCTCGTCGGTGAGGGTCACAGGGAGGAGCTCTTTCTCTACACTAAAATTGCCCTCACCTACTTCAAATCTCGCAATGCAATAAGGAGTAACGATATCCCTCTAAAACCAGCGCAACACCTTCTACCAGCCTCCACAAAGGACAATCTCCTCTTTCCTGGTAAAGTTATTGGTATCGAGGACATGGGCGAGGACAAAATAATTGTCTCGGACACCGGAAACAACCGAGTAATTATAATGAAACTCGATGGAACAGTTGAGCATGTAATTGGTGGTTATTCCCCGGGTATGAGGGATGGTAATTTCGATGTGGCTAGATTCAATGGACCACAGGGTATATGTCACCGTGGCCAATCAATTTACGTTGCTGATAACGATAATCACGCAATCAGGCTCATTGATTTGAAGAGTAAAAGTGTGACGACACTCGTTGGAACTGGTTCTCAAGGGCATGATTATCAAGGTGGTGGAATCGCCAAGGGCCAGGCTATATCATCACCTTGGGATGTTGCTATTTACGATTATAAGGAGAATCAAGAGGTATTGCTCATTGCTATGGCTGGGACTCATCAGATTTGGGCATTGTTTCTTCAGGATACCGTTTGGTGGAAGAACAAGTAATTATTTTCAATCAGGCCATGCTGGGGTTATTAACTCCCATTAAAAATTGTTTCATTCTTAATTGAAATAATTAGTTATTCGTCCAGTGATAATTTGTCAAGTGGAATTCTCTTAAAAAAACGTAAATAATGCAAAAAAAAAATACAAAACAAGTCCGCATCATCGAACGGGCGAAAATTCTAATTAGCTGCAATCATATTTTTCGGTTTTATCATTATTCAATGACTCACGAATTTTTATAGTCGTTCATCTATTTTTCTTAATTTTTAAAAAATTCTGTGAATTTTTAGAAAAGTTTAATGAGAACTTGGAAAAATTATTCCACGGCTTGAGGAAACTTCGTGAGACATTAAATAGTCATTAATCGTCATTCATCAATTAATCATTAATTTCCTGGACTAATTAAAATAGCAAAAGGTTCGCATCGCCTATAAATCAAATGAATAAATAAAATAGCGCTGAAGACTCCTAAAACCGAATCACTTCCTCAACCAATAAATAAAATCCTCCAAACCAATTGTTATAATAATTAATTAACAGAGAGTACAAAGCCGGAAGCTGTGCGGCAATCGTGGGAAACGGTCGTGAGGCAAACAGAAACAACAGCTATCCCCATGCAGCGAGTCTAGCCCAACCCTCGGGGATAGCTCTCTCCCAAGACTCAAAACTCCTATTCTTCGCCGACAGCGAGAGCAGTTCCATCAGAAAAATTCACCTCGTCGACGGTAGAGTCTCACCCCTAGCAGGTGCCGATAAAAATCCCCAAGTAATTTCCTCATTCGTTACACCCCAATCTTCATAAATTACCATGACAGATATATAATCGTAAAATTTAACAATCCAGGATTTGCATAATTTTGGTGATGCCGATGGTACCCAGTACTCGGCAAAGTTTCAACATCCCCTGGGAGTAACATGGGATAGTAAACGAGAAGTTGTTTACGTCGCTGACACTTATAATCACAAAATTAAGCAAATCGATTCAGCTGGCAAGTGCACAACACTGTATGGAAGTGGAAAACCGACGAAAGATCATGTGTTCGATGAACCGAGTGGACTGGGTCTACTAGCCAAGCAGAATCTCCTATTAATTGCTGATACCAACAACCATTGCATAAAAGCCGTAAATCTAGATACCAAATCAATAAACACGGTAATATCAATGATTCACGTTAATGAGGAAACCAATGAAAATAGTTAATGATATTTTTATTTCATCCCCAGATACCAAACCTGAAGTATCCCAAGAAAGTTGCCAGACCATTCGACAAAATTCTCAACTTCACCATCGAAATAAGTAACAAACTGGCAGATATTAAAATATTATTCACGACTAGATTGGATGCTGGTGTTGAATTTACCGCAGATGCACCACAGAAGTGGTCACTCAGTCATCCAGAATCGTGGACATCAGAAAGTCCCATGGGATCTCTCGTCACACCGATCAAACTAGAACTTCCAGAGGATAATGCACCTGAAGAGCTGGTTATAACCATTAACTTTGTTGTCTGCACTGGTGGCCAGTGCGTACCGAGAAGATTAAAAATAATGTACAGAGTTGTCCGTAAAGAAGGGGCATCAACGAGCATCGAACAAACCAACGAACTGGAAATCTCATGAACAAATGATGAACAAAAAAATTCAAGTCAATACATCTCAAATATACTCTCATTCGTGTTGATTTACACAACGCCAAATCTAGAAGTAACAATTGTAATTTTGCACTTTGTTTCTTTAATAAAATGATTAATTAACTGAGCAATTGTGTGAAGTCTCTTTTAATCGTCATGGTAGTTCCTCTGGGAGTTTTGAGAACTTGAAGTACTTGGGGCAATGCGAGAACAAATAGGGAATGAACTTTCATGGAGTTGATGTGAATGGATATAATCAACTCGCGACTTGGTGGATAGAATAACCCGTGGAGAACAGTTGTGTGAACTCTGGTGGGACAAAATTCTAAGCAATACACCCACATGATTTCCAATAAGTGGCGAAGAGGTGTGAAAACCCAGAGACAAGTGGCTATAGAATAAAACGAGGCTAATATTCTCAGTACACAGGTATAATTCAATGCAAGTAACAACGAGCGATGAGTTGACAAGAATGTTAGCGGTAAAACTCATGCATGTTGCATCACAAGACAACTCCTCTGCTGTAATTTACCAGTGAGATTATAACAGCGAGTGATAGCAAAATCCATGTATGAGTTTATGGTACTCCACGGGTACCTGGCAGGCGGATAAATATATAACTGATTGTTTATGGACATGTAAATGCTGTGGGTATTGCACTTCTGGTTAATTCACGGTGGATATCGGTCATGGAGTATTACCAGACGTGCCTTAAAATACTTTAAATCCGTTGCGTGTTTGATGGGAGGGGAGGGAGTTGTTAGTACCGACAGGCCATACGGTTAATTAATGAGTAGACCCGTACGCGTTTTTGTGCCTTACTGAATTATAATATAATTTTTGTAATTACATCGACGGAAACGGAAACGCATGTCGTGTAATCACCCACACTCGTACACTAGTCAAAAAAATCATTTCGATTAATTAGTTTTGGAGATTCTTCATTATTGAATTTGTTAATCAAAGGGTTTTGCAGTAATTTATTAAATCGAGAGAAATATGTATTTTTAGGAAAATGTTAGATGAACTTGTTATGAGGTGATCTCAACTGGAGGTTAATCATATTGCTCTTGAGAATGTTTATGGATATGACTTTAAATAAATTTCATCAATAACTAGCACTATTCAAGAATTCTTCGATTTAAAGATAGTGGTACTTTGGCCGAGTGGTTAGCGTGCTGAGAAAGTGTTCTGACGAACACGGGTTCGAAACTCGGAGGGAACTGGAAATGTTTCCTTGGTTTGAACTCTTGTTCGGCCTGGAACCGTCGGTTCAAGGGTTCCATGAGTTCTGACGGAACAATTGGCTTCATTGGAGGGATGATTCCAATGGAAGAATTCAGGGTTCCATCAGAACAATTCCGCGCGTTCAGTATTCAAAGAAAATGAACAATAATCCGCGGAGTTCACCCTAAGATAAATCCCAAGTAATCATTCTCTAAGGCATTATGATGATCATCATCGGAAGCTAATCGAAATTGTTCGGGGATATCCTCTCAATTGGAGAAATGATGTTCGGAAAAAATGCATACGTTTTTCAGTAGATGAATTGAGAACCGAAATCATGACAGCACGTCTTTGAAAGATTGAATATTTTTTTTGATTGATAGAACTGGATAGATAATTATTGAGAGATGAATGGCACTAGATACACCGTGACCCTATTGCCCTGACCTATTGTCTGGTACCCCGGTACCCCAATTGCCTCGTACCCTGGAAACCCGAGTCATCGGGTCTTCCTTTTTTTTTTATGCCCCTCAACATCATTTCACATATGTCCTGATACTGCCATTGGGTGAGACAATCTGGGACCCTGGATTTTACCGTTATATTTGGACTTTGTTCCCACGAGCCAAGCGATTATGCCAACAAGAGCACTGTGCATGGACTTGGTAATTATCCGTTGATTATAAATTCTATGTTGGATGAGAGAATTTGCATAAACTCTGGACTGTTAGAAATTTTAGAGCCCGGCGCCATGATTTTCATAATGAGATGGAATTATTCATGAATTTCTTGGCCATTGCCCGTTTATCCTGAATTCTAAATTAATTAAAACTATCATGAATTGATGAATAAATGGATGTTCCCATAAATATTAAATGCATTTTTTACGATTTATAAAGGAAAAAAATGAATCGAAATGGAATTGCGTACGATAGTGTTTGCATGAGGGATGTCTTCAGAATTCTAATGCTAATTCATCTCCCCCGGATGGAGACGTTGTTGCAGGTCAGTTTTGTTTGTGTTATGAAATCAAATGAATTCAAATAATCGCCGTGAAATGACTGCCGGGTTTTGTAAAACCACTTCTTCACTCGAAACCTCAGGTATTCGTATTTTTGGATTTTTCCTGGTTCACCTGGGGACAGGATCTATACGAGTCCCGTTAAATTCGAAAGCCAACTTGGGATCACTTCGCCCATTAAAAATACCACCGAGTACATACCGAACGCTGTGCAAATATTTTCCCTGAATAAAGACGGCACGTGGGGCTATATCCCTCTATTTTTCCTCAATTCTGTCAGCATATCTCAATGCATTGTGAGAGAAATAAATTCAACTGTCTCTAATCTGAATAAATTATGTATTCTTTTTTTTTAGAAATTTTTCCCGGCAAAAAAAAATCGCGGAAATCGGAGCTCTACGCGATTTTCACCGATTTTTAACGCGGAAATATTGACTCGAATCTTTTCATCGACTTTTTTACATTGCGGAATTCAGTGGAAAAATGGAAGAGGTCTTGAGGGGTTGTAATGAATTAATTAAATTGATTAATAAATCTGGGCATGAATAATGAATTTTCAGCGCGATTTTTACTGACAAATAATGACTGGAATTTTTTCTTGAATTGTTTTCGATTTTTCGTTTTATGTGATATATTAAAAATTTCTCAGAGTTGTACGTGGAATTGAACAGAAGACAGGAGTAAAGAATTTCCCCCAATTTCCACTGATATTCACAAAGAAAAATCAATTTTCCCTCCCTGTAATTTTTCCTTGAACTTTTCTCCATCTTCTTTTTACCCAATATTCATTAAAAATCGGAAAAAAAAAACAAGACTTGAGGGGTTGTCATCAATTAAAGGTTCATGATTGCAGCATGACCTCCAACTTCACTACAATTTCCCTGGAATTTTCTCGACATCTCTATGCGCGATTTTACAGGAGGAAAAAAAAAGCAGGACCTGTCCCTCGGGGTTGTTGTGGATTGAAGTCCCTGAATAAAGAGATCTCCCCCCAATTAGCGGTTGCGGGGAACCTGTTGTCGACTGGTAGACATCCTCCCCCGATTACTTCACACCAAGTGCCCCCCTCCCCCAACAATTCCCGGTGTGTTCCCCTCGGTATTTCTCGGTGTTCCTCGGTACCCCCTTCAGTGTCCCACCTCTAATATTGACACAGGTATCAAGGATATCCTCGAACCACTGTCTCCCAGTCAGTGTTTTAACGTGACCACCGGTGGGGTAACATTGGTCAGTGGTGTTGCTCACCGAGTGCATCATCTCCCAGTGAGTTTATCGTGCAACACGTACCAAGAATAACAAAACCAACTAGTTGTTAGAATAAACAGGGGATAATTGAGAATAATTGACAAGCTGAGTAAGGCTGGTGAGCGAGAATAACTATAAGAAATATATAATAAACCAGAATACCTGGTGGATACTCCGGCAAAAAGCCATAAGATAAAAGCAAATAGGATAACAGAAAGGCATCTCTGGAGGTACTATACAGGGTCACTACCCTTCGTTCAGTGGCAAGGCCAACCGCAATATACTACACACAACGAGCAACTAGTATCATACTGACATCAAGAAGTCAATACTTCATCTTTCATCATCATCCAGGGGTGATACACCCGGGGGAGAGATCCCAGTGGTTTTAGTCAGTGGATAACGAGGATGACTGTCTGAGTCAAGTCGTCAACTGTCCGAGGTCAGTTTCCTAATTTATATATTTTTTTTAATTACAAAAACAATTCAGAACAAAATTCACGACACGAATTTTATTTTTTATAAATTTCATTTGCGTGGGAGGATTGACGCTTTTGATTATGGACTTCGCTTGTCGAGTTATTTCACGGTTCATTTTCAATTATTGTAATTTTACGGCTGCAGCTGGTCTTCGGGGTAATTATGACCTGCAGTGCAATTTTTTTAATTGTTAATATCGGGGATTCGATGAAGTTTTCATTTTTTAATTGGAATTTTTGGGAGAATTGGTAATTGGTTTGTGAATTTATCCAGGAATATGTGGAATGTAATTATCTTTGAGATCATATCATGATTGGTTTAATTGAAACTCAAGTAAATTCATCTCGAAATTATTCTTGTAGAGAAATATAAAGAATTTAAATTGTTAATGTAAATAATTCAGTCAAATAAATGAATATCTGGCAGAAATGCATTTTTCTCCTTGACTTTTTAGAAATTACAATTTATGGAGAAAATTCCGTAGGAATTAAGTAATTTGTCCTGAAACGGGTGAATTTTGTTATAAATTGTTGATCGCGCATAAAAAAATTGAATTGAGTAATTATTTTATATTGAACTCTTCGTTTACTATTTAAACAATAATTCAGGCGGAATTGTTCGCGTGCAAAATGAGACCGGAAGATATTCCCCAAGAAATCGGTCTAGGATCCTCTAATTATCTCAATTTTTTTGTTTATAACTTTCGAAGAGAAAAAATTGTCTCACGTGGAAAGTAAAATCTCGGGAATGAGCGTTGAAACTGAACTAAAACGTCGCAGCCTCTGGAAACTTCTACACGGAGAGAAATATTCCATAAAAATAGCGAACCTCAACTTCTCGTACCGATTACGGAAGTGACTAAGAAAATTTCCATGTCCCTACCGTAATTTTTCAATGAAAATTCATACAAAAATTACGGAACACTCCGAAAAAGTTCCGTAACTGTCCCATAAAATTTCACTCCGAAATTACAAAAAAGATACGTAATTTCTATTAAATATTTAAAAAATTCATCGCATCCTATAAATTCTTGATCACCGATTGAGAATAATTCCAGGGAAAGTTGCGGCTTTTTTTGAAAACGCTTTTCTAATTTTATTATTAATAATTGTTAACATCTCAATGAGCCCTCAACGATGTACCCAATTCTTAAAAAATCGTCAGGAATTTTAGAAATAAATTACCATTTAGTAATCAGTCATTTTTCCCTCACAATATGCGATAATTTTTTCGATTAAAAATTTCCCTCAATAAATTTCCGGTAAAAAAACTGCCCTATACAATTAATTACGAATTATCAACCCTAATTACTAATCAGATCAATCAAATATTTTTGCATAACATACGCCAATAATTTTATATTCCGTGATTTTCTGGGATTTTTACCCAAAAAAATGAAATCCGAAGGAATTTCAAGCGAGAAATTTTTTTTGGAGTTATTTCTTTGAGAGGGAATGTCATCCAAGCGATTTATGGAAAGTTAAAAAGAGGAAAAGCCCAGGGATGGGTAAAAACCCGGAAAAATGAAGAGACATTGGCGATGACTCCTGAAAAGATGATTTTTGAGGATGATAACCCGCACGACCGGATGAATCCATATAACGGTATTGAAAACGGTCCAGCATGGATTCTCGTTGTCCAGTTTCTTTGGCCACAGCTTCCGAATTGATCATTCGCGTTTTTACCCCATTATCTTGAGCCGCGTATAAACCGCAATGGCATTAGAACCCCACCGCACCGAGACTCGATAAATTCAAAGCATTCAGGAACAATAAATCTCTCGATTCCCTCACCACAGGTGCTATTAAAATAATAATAAAATGCCCATCAACTCCAGCAATTCTAATATTAGCTTTTGAATGAAGGGAAATGAACACCTGTTGGACTGATGATGAGATTAAATGGGAGATTCGTCGTGGGCATGATGCATCATTCAAACGTTAATGCACATCGGATTGAAAACCGGTTTGATATTTTTTTAGAATTGAGTGCATATTTAGGAGAACCACTTGAGGCCCGTCTTTTTTGGGGCTATTTATTCTCTGGGTTAGTGGTCTTTCGTCTCTGAGCATTGACCCTTTTCAGAGTTATGACTCTAATTATTTTGGAGATAGGAGGGAGCGATGACCTCAACCCCATCGAACCCCATCGATGCGAGAAGAATCTTTTATTTAATAACTCTACTATCCCACCAGGAAATTCCGGAGAAATATTTTCTGTAGCTCGGGAATTTTTTATATTTACGCATAATTTTTAAATGCATGGAAAAATTACCGCGTCATTACCGAATTTTTTTGTGGGAAAATTCTGGTCGTAGGGTAATTGTGTTTTGAATATTTATCGGTACACAGAGAGAAATATTCAATAAAAATTACGTTTATTTTCCGTAATTCTGGAGCGAAATTTGGTTGCCGGAAATTTTACGGCAATGTCACGTCATTTTAATCTAAAGTGACGGAATTTTCTGGGGTGTTCCGTAATTTTTATCTGAATTATCGATGAAAAATTACGATACCATCACTTAAATTTAATCGACTCCATAATCGGTAATTGAACCAAAAGTTCCGTAATTTTTACTAAATATTTCTCTCCATGTAGATGTAGTGGAAAAATTCGGTTGAATATGAGAGAATGGATTTAAAAAATTGGTCACCTCGAAATCATCGACATGTCCGACAAAAGGGAAAAGGGAAAAGGGATAATACCGGAATTCTTTTGAATTTCGTACATAATTCGGTCGCACGTGGTGAACTCGTTCTGCCCCAGACAAAAAAACCAACAGAATTCAGAGTGTGTCACGCATGATGGAATTACTAACTACTGAAACGCGTCTCCCACTGTTAAAATGGCCAATGACACTCGTACCTATTCAATGACTAACAGTATCGATCGTTAACCCCAAGTGTTATGGATTTTCCAGAGAAAAGAACTTCGAGATGAGTATTTTATCGAGACGTCTGCCCTTCGTGGCATTATTATATTTAATGATTGACTTACCCTCGCTGGAGGCACTTCCGGTTGGCGAAGCCACACTCGACTCTGCACCTGAAATTCCCAAAAATACTAGGTAAGTTTTGAGTTCTCCCTTAAAAAAAAAATCCAACGTATCGTTCATGTCTAGTTATTCAAATTATTCTGAAAATCTATTAAAAAAATTCAGCAATTTCCCCCAAATAAATACGTAATAATCAATAATATGAGACAGTGTAATAAATTTGAATAATTTAGGATGGATCAAGGTGAAGGAAAACTGATGCATCGAGAGCTTCCGGGTTCTCCAGCAGATCTCCTACGCCCGGATATATTCCAATTCTACACATTCGACAAATCCGGTGAAGTAATAAAAAAAGAGATGACAAAGCACGAGATCCAGAGTTTAATAGCAGCAGGAGGTGGTCACCTGCCGCCGATGGCACCAGAAATTCATGAGCCTCAAAAGGCCGGTGATGTGCCAACCGGTGGAACGAGAGTTGCCGATGTAGTACAAAACGTGCAGAATGTACTGAAAGGTGAATTGAGCAAGCCAACACCAATGATATCGACAATACCAAAGATTCCTGGTCACGCAAATTCCGAATGGAGTAGCATTCTCCCATCAATTCTCACCGGTGACATGGAATCCATTGCCCTCAGTCCACCAGAGGTACCAAGACCGCAGCATCCGGACGATGAAAAAATACCGGTGTACGTGGGTCATCCGATGTATGAAGAGATAACGGAAAGACCAATGATCCAAGTGCCAGTTATAACAGTAGAGGAGAAATTACCAATTCAAAATAATTCGTCAAGTGATGAAGAGAGCAATAACGACCAGATCAATGACAACGGTCCAATATTTCAGATATTAAATACCATATCCGCAGATATGTTGAGAAACACCAGCAATTCTGTGGTCTTGTCTGATCAGATTACCGATGCGAGTGAATCATTCGATCGATCAACGGCAAAACCCCAAATTCAACAGTTGAAGAATGACTCGACAACTTATCAAGTTCCTACGACCACTCAGAACTCTATTGAGAACATCACGGCTGAAGGAATTAATCATGTCATTAGCATCGTCTCCGAGACCCATTCGACATCGATAAAAATCCCCGGGTATGATGAGATGAAGATAGACCAGTCAAAATTACAATCCATTACTTCATCTTCCGAGACAAGCGACTCGAAGGAAGCGGTAAATCAAGATAAACCGGTGCCATCAACGTCCAAACCGATTATTGCTGATGATAAATTCGAGATAGTCCAGCCGATAGAGCCTGTGCTGTTGAACAATATCCTGAAGGAATTTGAAATCCAGGGGACGACAGCATTCGAGCCGCTGGAGACTACTGAAATTATTCCAACGTCTGAGAAGAACGAAGACATAACAACAGAGGCCATTCCACTAACTACAGAGTACGATAAATCAGAGGATCCGACGATACCACCACAAGATCAAGTCCCTGTGAACGTCCCACAAGCTGGAAGCACCACTGAATCCATTCCAGCAGAAAATACAACGGACCAAATAACGCAAGTGACTCAGCATGACTCAACAACTCCAGACTATAAAATCGAATCGATATCGATAACAACACCTTCAGTATTGATAACAGGTACTGATGCTCCACCGGAGACAACTACATCAACTCCAGGAGAGATTAAACTTGAAGATCCAGTCACTGAAATAATTCCCAGAACAACTCCAGAGGATGCGACTGAAAAGACGAGTGAAGTAGCAGTGGAAGTGACGACTCAAGTTCCATCCACGACCCCCGAATCCACGACAACAATCGAACGAGAGGAGACACCACTGTCTGTGGAGTTGGAGGACTCGTTATCCAGCATGATTTCTCAAATTTCCGAGGCCATTATAGAGCCATCATTGCCTGCTCGTAACGATCAATCGAAAATCGCTGATGATTTCACGATTACCGAAGACATGAACAAGCAGGAATTCTCCAGCACTGATGGAGTGCTTCTGCCATCATCTCCAAGGCCATTAGCAGCCCCTGAAATCACGCCATCAACACCAGCAAGTGTCAGTCCAGCCTGGAAGACAAATGCAACAGTGGAAGACAACTCCCTGAAGGAGTCGAAGTTGAAGCCGTCGGTATCCACTGAGGCGACAGAAACTCCGATCGTTAGGATCGATATAATGACACCAGCTGAGACAACAGCGACTCCAGAAATGCCTCCGGTGGTGCCTGAGGAGGAGTCTCCAGTTGTGAGAATACAGCTGACGGATCCAGTCACTGCAGTCAATCACATAATCGAATCCATCCCTGCTGACAGCCATTCAGCAGCCCCAGAAATTCAACCCATGACCTTTCCGACGAGAGGAAGCATCAGTCCAAACAACATCTCGAGTAGTTTAATTGCTGGTTTCTCGAATAATGAGAAAGCAAACGAGAATACGACAGAAATCACTGATCCTATCCCTTTGGAAACTGATAAAAAAGAATCTTTTGCCGAAAAAGCAGAAGAATCAATTCCTGAGGTGGCGCTGGCTCAAGAACAGCCAACAACGGATTACGATAAAAATCTAGCGACAATTATGCAACAGATCAATTTTAACGAGCTTCCTATCGTCCAATCGCCCAAGAAACCGTCAGTGACACACAAAACTGAACCGAAAATTGACTCCGCTACACCTGAACCTGAGATCCCTGCGATTAAATTCAACAATAGCGCGCCGATTGCTGATAAGAAT